CACAATGAGAGCGGCCGTCCAATTCCATCGCTTTTATTTACACTTTAACCCGCGAATTTATGGGAAACGCTTCGAAGCGACCATTCATATTTTGAAATCCCCCGATGCGCATTATTGAAACAATAGCGATATTAATTCTAAACGTCCATTTGCCGACTCGGAGCCCCTAGGGGACGCGCGACGATTTGGGCTCAGTTTTCGGATTAACCGCGACGACGGGTTATCGTTCAAAACAGACAAAATGACCAAAAAATGATAGTCCATCCCCGAACGATCGCATCCGACGCCTTTCCGACGCGGTCTATCCTTCGATGGTTCCATCCGACAGCCATCAAACATCGACGCCTTTCCAGGCGTCGGATAGGCCGGCTTTGCGCGTCTGCCGGCAGAAACCGCGTCGACTCGGCTTTGATCAAGCAGCATCCCAGACGTCCCGACCGAAGCCGACGGGTTTTCCTGAAAAGGGATTTCCCCCGTTTTCCTCCACCCCTCGATTCGCCTGGCGCGTCCATTTATCGCTCAACGTCCCAATAAGAGAGTTCCCTAGGCAAAGGAAAACAGCGGCAGACTTCGGCTCCCATCTCGACGAAACGCTAATCCAATGACAGCGCAATTAAGAAAACCCGGGGGGAGATGTTTCCGGAAAGAGCATCGGCGTCCGCAGATGATCGTTCCCTCGTTAATGGCTTCCGATGGCCCTCGAGTTCCCCGAGGAAGTTGTCAGTCGTAACGAAAGAGAAAACCCTCCCGAAGATCTTCCGTGCCATTTCCTTCCCAGCAGTCGGGGGCTTTGATCCTGCGAACGGGACGTCCCGTTCGCGTCCCGAGGGAGCCCGTCGACGAGGCGTCCCACGGGACTCGTCGAGTGGACGAGCATCCGCAGCCCTCGGGGGATGGTATCGAGGAGAGAGAGAGTCGATCCGGGATGATATCGGGAGACAAAGGGACGCCGAGGACCAGTCGGCAGCCGGGGGACAAGGCCATAAATTCGAGATGGCATCGACGGTAACGAAGAGGCAGGGGAAACAACCTCGCTAAATAAACTTTCGAGTATCGACTGATTCCGGCTCGTTTTCTCTCTTCCCGTCCGCTCCTTTGAGCGAAAATATATACAAAAAATATAAGACAAATATCTTTTGTTCCTTATTCGGACTCGAAGTGGAAAATAAAATAGGGAAAAGAAGTTTCTCTCGCGCGGCGCGTGGCGACCATTTTTTTCCCCGCTCGCGAGGGAACGACTTTCCGGGCGACTCCATTTTCCTCCTTTTTACCGCTTCCCGTCGACGTTAGGAACGGTAATCGAGCGGTTTCTTCTCGACGGCACGACGACCGTTGTCCCGTGCTAACGCTCGACGGGGCAGGTTCTTCCCTTCAAATTGGTCCATCGAACGAGGGATTTCAGTTTTTTCCCGGCAGGAGTCCTGCGAGCGCCGTTCCGCGCTTATAGCCGCAACCGAACCGCAGACTCCGGGATCACGCAACGGCGAAAAGCTCCGGTCTCGAGACGTTAATCGCGAGACATTTACTCCGCATCCAGGGAAACGGTTACGACTCCGTTTACGGTGCTTATCTCGGGTTCGAGTCGCCACGTTTTTCGGGACAAAATCGTCGAGACGGCGCGGGATCGAAAATGCGTCGGGCAAACAAATCGGGATGATTCGCTTCCCCGAAAATTCATCGTCCATCACGGCCGGCCGGTCCCAAAGGGGTGTAACGAGATTCGGCGGTCGGCGACCGGTTTCGCCTCTTCCTCCATTGAGTGCAGTTAAAGGTAGAAAAGCCGGCGGGTTACCGTAATACGAGTCCCGCGCAAAAAGGGGTCGGAGCGACGGACGAGTTTTAACTTAAATTAATCCCGGCCGAGAGAGAGAGAGAGAGCCCTCGTTAAGTGGGATACTACAAACGGCATAAACCGGCAAATTGCTACGGCCCTTCTTTTTCGGGGCGCGCAAAATGGAGCGGATCCAATATCCGCGGCCCTCCTCCGGTTCGGCCGCCGACTGCGGGGCAAACAACTATTAATAACGCGTCTTCCACGTCGCGCGTTCCCTCGCGACCGGAGTGCGGTTCGTTTCGACCACGTCGCCGGGTTAACGGCTCGGCAAATGCCGGCGGTTAGCCCGACAGCGTTTTCTCGCTTTCCCGGTCTCCTTTCTCGCTGCCCTTGCATATTCCGCCGGACGTTCGCCGGCTTCCGACCTCTCGTTTCCATCGGCACTTTTTCAACCCTCGGGAGATATTGCCTTTACGCCGACCTCGCGAATTCCTCCCCCGGACCCTCCGCCGAGGTCGTTTGCTCCTGACCGGCGAAACCGGTGCCGGCAGCGGTTGGTTTCGATGGCAATGATGTAAATAAATGAAGGTCATTGTTTTTGGCAGGAAAGTTGGCACCGGTGCGGAGGCAAACGGCCTTAAATCGGGAACACCCCGTCTCGACTTTTCCTCCCCTTTGGCGTCGCCGCCAGAGGGTGGAGAACCGCTCGAAAAACTCGAAGCCGCAAAGTGCCGCGCGTTACAAATTTCCATAAATTAAATTTCCGCCCCCGACGCGACCGGGTGCTCCAGGAAGTGTCTACATCCGGTCGCCGGGGGGTCTGAAATCCCACTCTCGCTGAAACCGCAATCCGCTGCCGGGCCCGAGTGCCTATCGAAACTTACCGCCCACCTCCGCCGGCGGGATTACTTTGGCCGCCACCCCGAGAGAAAAAATTCAATGAACCAAAGAAATATTTTTTTAATTCAACAAGTAATTATTTCACTGAAATAAGCTCAAATAAATTGTCACAGTTCCGAAGAAACGTCGCGTATAATTAATTCGAGTTTGAGTCAAATCATTATTTCTTGAATTTTGGGGTGATATTAAAATGGCACGATATCGAGCAATCGTCTTCGTTCCTCGGAACGCGACTATTATTTTCCATTATTTGCGCAAACTCCCCTTTTGTTTACTCATGCATCAGGAATATGACAGGATATAATGAGAGGTTTAAAGCAACCTGCAACGTGCCGGGGAGATGGGCTTTAACTAGTAAATCCGGAGCTTCTAGAGCGGGCCGTCGTATTCGTAAATAATATAACGAGTACTCTACCGTTACCGAGAGCATCGATGCTAATTAAACGCGTAAACGATATTTATCGCGAAACCTCGTTTATAGATCGCCGGGGGCTTCCTCTCTCGCAAGGAGCGAACGAATCCCGCCGTCTTTCTCGAAAATGATACGACCCACCTGCGTTATCAACGTTCCAAATAAATCCCCATACTTTAACCCATCTCCACGAATTAATAGAAACTCGACAATGAGTCGCGTCAAATTTCTTTCATCGAAGCAAAGAACTCATGGCGAATGGAAGCACCACCGAGACATCCTTGAAACCGCTTGCGGAAAAATGACCGGAGGAATTCGGCGCAATTTCGACGCGCGCTTCCGGGTCGGGTACGGAACCGCAGCCGGATTCCGCTCCAACGCGGGCGACTTCGGGCGGAGTTCGTTCCGCGGAAGGGTTATTATCCACCGGGTCGCAGGAGACGGGGGACCTAATTGGGTCAGAGGGCGGGCCAGGGTTCGGACGAAGCTTTTTCGGGTCCGTTGAACTTAATTGGGCGAGCGCTCCAGGAATTTGGGGTACACGCGAGGCGCGGCCGCGACGGCCAGGATTGCGTCGGGGGACCCGGAGGAGCTCGTCCTCGCCAGATGACGGCCAGATGGAATTTGAGAGCGACCCGGGGGTGCGTAGGACGCTGCTCGTTAAGGCGGCATGAAAGCGACGGGTTAATCGTTTATGAAGCTTTTCTCGAAATTAAGTGCACCGAATGGTTCGAAATCTTGCCACGTCAACGCGGAGGCCTTATGGAAGGTCCCGATCCCCGTGAAATTATCATTTATAAATCGTTAAAAAATATTTACGGATAAATTTAATTTACAAAGATGAAATTTCACGGGTGTCAGGGCCTTTGCATTTGCGTGGGAAAATTTCGAGCGATTCGATACACCCAGTTCGGAGATAAGTTTCATACACGGGAGATTTCTCGCGTCACCTCAAGACCCGCCAGGGTCGCCACCGGCTAAAGGTCTCTGCCCACCTCGGAATTAATCCGCCGATGTATCGGAGGAGGTACGTCGAGCGTTATTTCACCCCGAAGGGAAAATTGACCGCCCCCTGAAAACCGAAGCGAATCACGAGGAGGTTCAATTTCTCCGGGGCGTATCCCGATCGAAGACGGGAAAGGCGAACGTGATATTTTCCCCGGGGTCGGGGCATTCCGCCAATTATGAACGGCCGATCGGATGTGAACTTAAGGATTTCCCTCCAATTCTGTCAGCTTGTACGGAAGATATGACGGAGCGATGGCGAATCCTGAATATTCAAGGTGCCATTAGTTCCATCGATAATTCCGGGAGAGGATTAATTCTCAAATCGAAAGCGCGCCGAGGGGCCTCCGACGACTCCCGTTGATGCGATTCCGTCGTCTCCGAGGGGAAAAAAAAGCCGGGGGGGGAGAAAAGGAAACTCGCTATTTATCTCCGGACTATCCAATACGTTTCCTCGAACGCGGCGCCATTTTCGTCCTCCGCGAAGGAGCCGGTCCCCGTGCACTTTACGATCCGATAAAACCGGGCCGATTCGGTTTCGGTAACGCGAAGAGACTTCGAGGAAATAAATCAGATCACTCGGGCTCGCCTCGGCGCTCCCGCTCCAAAGCCTCCTAAAAAGACACACCTTTGGAAAGGGGGGCAAAATCTGCCAGGAAACGATCTCGGAGAGATCCCCTTCGCCGTTTCCGGGTGTCTCTCTCGTAGCTCGGAGGTGCGTTCGCGCTCCTTCCCTAAAAACGTCGGAAACGCCGGAAAGGACTACTCTTCCCCGATATAACGTCGGATAACCCATTCTCCTTTTCCCCGAGGAGCAAAAATCCCTTATCGAGGATCTCCACCAGAGGTCGAGGACGTAGTTGGAAATTCGCGAGCTCGACGCATGACCCAGGTTGATCCGTGTTTCAGCTATCGGAGGACATAGGCTACGTCCTCTACTCCGCGCTGGGCAGCTTCTACATCCCCTCGTGCATCATGGTCTTCGTCTACATCCGCATCTACTTCGCGGCGAAGGCGCGGGCTCGGCGGGGGATCCGGAAGCAGCCGCGGCCGCGGCCGACGCAGCCGCCGGAGTCGCCGGACGTGCGGCAGACCAGCTTCACGCAGAGCACGCCGGCCACGGAGACCAGGAGGACCCCGGGGTCCGCCCTGGAGAACGTGGCCACCATCGAGAACCAGCCGGTCCAGATCCCCATCGTCACCTGCGACTTCGCGAGCGACGTCAGCACCTCCGAGGCGGAGCCCGGAGGGGGCGGCATCCCCCTGGAGGAGAAGGACACGCTCAAGGTAAACCCCCTCTATCCCGAGCCGAAACGGCGCGTCCAATTAATTCTCGTAACTTGGCTATGATCTCGATACCCCGGATCGCCCCCAAAGTCCCCGACCGATACAGAGCGCGGTTGCACGCAGGTGACGATGCCGCTGCCGGGTCAGAAGATCGCGTCGAAGGCGTGTCTGTCGGTGAACGGCGAGGGCCAGTCGAGCCAGAGCATCCCGATCCGGTGTCGAGCGCCGTCGGTGGGCATCGACGTGGACATGGTGTCGGAGTTCGACCCGTCGTCCTCGGACAGCGGGGTGGTGTCGCGATGCGCGGTGGTGAAGCCGCTGAAGCGGCGACTCTGCCAGCCGATCTTCGGCCGGAAGACGATGGCCAAGCTGAAGCGGGACCACGGGGGCGGGGGCGGGGGCGGGGGCGGCGGCGGCGGCGGGGGTGAGGGGGGCCGACACGGCGGGAAGGACCCGGGGGTGGAGGCGAAGCCCCCCAAGCCCCGCGACCCCGAGAGGGAGAAGCGCCGGCTGGCCCGGAAAAAGGAGAAGCGCGCCACGCTGATCCTGGGCCTCATCATGGGCAGTTTCATCGCCTGCTGGTTCCCCTTCTTTTTCCTCTACATCGTCAAGCCGCTCTTCCCGGACCTGGACATCCCCGGCCGGGCCTTCACCGTCGCCTTCTGGCTCGGCTACACCAACTCCGCCCTCAACCCCGCCATCTACACCGCCTTCAACAAGGACTTCCGCAGGGCCTTCCAGAGGATACTCTGCAAATGAGCTCCGCCGGTGCTCGCGCTCGACGTTCCCAGGACCCGGGCCACCGTCTGAGCCCTCGCGAGCCTCGGCGACGCGCTCGGGACGGGGGGGCGGGGAGGAGCGGCGGAGGCGGCGAGCCCCCGGATCGAAACGCAATATTCGAAGGAGCCTTAGAAAATGGGGGCATCGCGGACGGCGACGTCCCCCGTAGGTCCTATAGTAGATGTTATTAACGTCGACGTGGCCGCTCGCCGTTGCCGACGTCCGATGGCGCCTCGGTCGCGGCCGAGAGATCCCCGGAGAAGCCTTTCGCGACCCTCTTGGTTATTTTTTCTATGGCGTCTGTCCGTTCCCTCGAGTCGAGCTTGCTTTCGACGTCGTTGCGGCCAAAATCGAATCGAACGTCTCGCTCCTCCCCGTCGCGCGATTTTCCCCACTCTTCACCTTGCCGCGAGAATCTCCGAGAGGAAGCGCGAACACCGGGGCGAAGGGATCGGCGGAGAAGCGGAGAGGACTACACCGACACACGACACGACAATCCGCGGTAACCGACGCTAATGCGACGCTACAGCGACGACGAGAGAGAGAGAGAGAGAGAGAGAGAGAAAGTGTGCGTGCATGAGTGAGAGAGAGAAAGAGTGAATAATCGAGATACCATAAAAAATACAGTAAACGCGAGAGATCTGAAAGGTTATTGACAAATAAGACGAGCAAAATGTTTCCTACTAAGCGCATAGGTTGTATAGGATCGAGGTGTCGATCGTAATCGTTATCATTCGAGTTTCAATAAATTTATATAGCTGAGTTATATATATATATATATAAATATATATATATATTTGAATTTTAATGTTTACAAGAAGAACGGGCTGGACGCTCGAATCTCGCGCGCGGTCCCGTGACCGCCCGCGCGGCATTGCCGACGCAATAACGAAAAAAACGAGGAAGAGCCGAGACAGAAAACGAGAAGAATCGAGTCGACCGATATCCGCGCGTCTTTCTCTTCGTATCTCCGCGACGACCGCGCGTCCCTCTTCCTCCCTCGTTTCCGCCGAAGGTGGAGGCGGGAGGAAGACGGAGAGAGACCCGGTCGAGATACGAAGGGAGAGTCGTAATCCGAGCTAGAGGGGCCCATATGCAATTCGCCGGTCGGATTATACCCGACGAGCCGAAGTACCGGTACTCGCAATGTCCTGTGCCGCGCGGTGGCCGGCAATTCCGCGGGCCGGTTCGCGAAAAAGAGGCCCTCTTGCCTCGCGGCGACTCGATTTTTGAATCCGTCGGTTCCGGGTGGACCGAAATTATTTCCAGACCCGGGAATACGCGGATGTTTCCCGACCGAGGGGCGATCGCGGTCGACGCGAATCGAGGGATCGACCGACCGAGTAATTCGTCACCGGCGGGTAAATCGGAATCCAAGCGGGCAGGACGGGTCGAATAATTGCGCGAAAATCGCGCCAAACGTTCGGCCGGGGCGACGCCGAAGACATCCGCTCGAGAACGTCCCACTTGTTCGCGGAGCACCGTCGATTCACTTTCGATCGTGGAGGAACGTCGACGGACCGTCGATACCGTCGACGATCGTCGCGAATTACCCCCACCGACTCGTATCAGCCGTCGCGATTTGTAATAACGTAAATTTCTAAAAATCAAACGACTTAAATGTACCCATTGCGTTAAAATGGCAGCCGGATCCTTTCCACGCGGAACGGGGATATCGATTCTAGCCGGGGCCGTCGATATTTCCCTAAAACGATCGACTCGAGAAACGATGGTCCTCGACGAGCCCCTCCGCGCACGCGCACCCCGTACCCTCGGTCGTCTTAGACGGCGCTGGGGTAAAGCTAAGTATTTTGCGAACTTTTCGAAATATCTCTGTGTGTCAGTACCTATTAACTCGCGCGAGTTTATCGCGATAACGGGGCGATTATGTAAGAGTATAAGTACCGAGCTCGGAGATGCCGCCCTCGAAGGTTCGGCCGAGTCGATCGAGGCGTCTTCTTTATCCTAACGATTCAACTCTAATAGCTACACGAGGTATTACCCGGAGTATTACGCGTGTCCACGAGGACGACCCGTTTCCCACTTCCGAATGTTCGTTATTTCTTAAGCGGATTTAAAGAAGAGAACCGAACTCGAGGAAAATGCCGACTCTTGGCGCGCGTACTCGCCGGTTAATACGCGCATACATATGCATCGAGTACATATATATGTATATATATTATTACCATATACAGGGCGAGGCACCTGACACCCCCGTGAAATATCTCCGTTATTTCCGACCTGACGATGCAACGATTCGCCCAAAATTTCGCAGCTCCCAGATTTTAATTTAGATAACGTATCGCGTCCGACGCGGCGAAGATTAGGTTAAATTCAAAGGACACCAGTCAAATGCCAAGTACGTTACTTATCCGAAAACCCCGCATCATCATCGATTCGAGGTCGTTAACTGACGAGCGCTAACGGACTAGCTCTGAAAAAAAAAGAAAATCCTTGAAATTCGCCCACGCGTTCCTTCGTCACGGGTCGTAGGTAGGAAGGATGTCCAAGACGGCGGAGGCGAGTCGCCCTGTATACGCATACACGTGTAACTAATCAAAGTCGCCGTAGGGATCCAACGATCGACCTTATGATTTCCATTTGTCGGACGCGTCCCCGCGAGAATCGACGCCTCCTTGACCCACCTCCTGGTGCCGGGCTCCTTTGAACGCGGAATTGAAGACGCGGGGACTCTAATTTCTTCCCGGCTTGTAATCAGACGAGAGAGAGGGGCGAAGGGTGCACAAAGAGAGACGGAAACGCGGCGCCGAGGAGCCGGCGCGAACGAGAGGCGAAGACGATTACCAAGGACCCAACTTTCGGGGCGGATCGGCCCGCTCAAAGGCAAATACAAATTAACCGCCGGAGCGGAACAGTCTTTGCAGTCCCGCGTAGATTTTGTACACCGGCTCGTCTTTTGTCTCGTCCCGGTAATTCGAGGAAAAGTTGCCGCGCCGCGTGGCGGAAGCGCCGGATCTTTCGTCCTTCCGGGCAAAGATGGAAACTGGCCAAACTCGCGTCTTTGCAACGACGACGCAACGACCGTTCACCGCGACATTTGATTTGTATTCGGTACCCCCGGTTCGAAGATGAGTTTCATGGACGAGACCTCTTTGACCCCGCTCTCGCATCACCTTAACGATTAATCCGCGCAATTGAATCGTACGAGGTTTAATTAAATCTGCAGTTTTTGCCCCCGGGGTAAAAGCGGAGGGCCGCTCGACCTCGACGCACCGGTTCTGGAATTGCGTGCCTCGAGGTCGTTTACGCCGGGCGCGCGAACCGTTAAAACGGTTCCAACTTTCCTCCGCCCGGAGTCGGCCCAACTTCTCCCCGAGTTATCGGCTCATTTATTCAATTATCTCGAACCTTGGCACTGACTGTCTCGTCCCCTGCCACGTCACCGTGAACTTTCCCGACTCGACAGGGAAAAGAAGCGGACCTCTCTCGCGTTTCCACGGATTCGCTTCGATGTATTCGCCGCGAAACTCTCCCGGACTCCCCGATCCGAGGACCCGTTAATTAACGACCAACGACTAATTAAAATTGTCGGCATTTCGTGAGCATGATTTTGTAACGTCTCGCCGTCCCCAGGAGATGGAGTCGCCCTCGCGTCGATCCTCGCCGGATTTTCGTAAACGGCGCCGACAAATTCTATCGATAATATTGGAGCAATGAAATCACTGTGATATCACTAAAACGCTTTCAAGGTGTGCGTCGGGACGAGGAGCGATTTAATCGGCGCAAAAGAGAGGGAGAAAACGAGAAGACAAATCGGAGAGCGTGAGAGCGAAAGGACGAGGGTGAAAGCGAGCGAGAGAGAGAAATAATGAGTAAAAAGAGAGAAAATTTATGATATTAACGATCGAATTGTAAATCGTATTACCGAGAATCGATTGACTATTACGAAACTTGTATTATTATAGTCGAAAGGATCTATATATATAAATATACTTATGCATGTACATAAATACGTCAAGGAAAAACCTACCACGTGCATATATATGTATATATATAGACGTTACCACCTATTATTACTAGGGTCATCGTTACTACGACGTCTGTCATTATCATTATTATCGTAACGGTTATTACGATTATCGGCAGGATGGTCATCGTTAGCGTCACTATTGTCGAAAAAAGAAGTCCTATCCTCTAATAGCGTCGGCTGTCCGTTTTCCTAGCTCGGGGGTTGGACGGGAAAAGTGCGACCGGCGGAGAGGCGCGAAACTTTCCGATTATTTGCGTATATATACACCCATGTGTCCGCATCCGTGTATATATGTACAGATATGAAAGATGGCGAGGAAGTCGGTGCCCTGTACATACGTAGGAGTCACTCGAGAGCCGGGGGGTCTCGATTTCCTCGGCTTTTCAGCCGATACGAGACCCTCCCGGCTGTAGAAAGTAGAGTTTAAGGTTTTCTCCGAGTAGATTCTAAGAGGAATAGAGACAGATATATGGAGAGGATGCGTTAGAGCGAGGGAAAGAGAGAGAGAGAGCCAGCAGAACGCGCGACGAGCCGTGAAAACGATTATGGGTCGAAAGAATGGTCAAATGGAGAAATGCTCCTTCGGCTGAAAAAGTCGCGTCTCGAACGCAAATCCTGGTTTACGTCGTCCGGTATTCGAGTACCGATCCATCGAAAACGCCGAGAAAACGTTTTTAGAGACCCGGCGAACCGGAGCGAGAAATTTTGACCGTGCTTTGGACTCATCCCTCGAAGGGCCACGAGCGTGAGTAAAAAGTTTCAACGAAATGTAAACCGATCGTGTAAACGGGACCACGTAGGCGTCCGTCTCTGTCAGAGCATTGTCTTTGAGTTTTGACCATAACTTCGACTCACCCTCGGAGCCCCCTTGACCGGGATTTCCAGGGACAATAGCGAGCACGCATGTATACATAGAAATTAATATATATACATATATATAAATAGAAGTATCATACGACTTATCCGTGTCATCGGCGAGAGACGAGCC